GCGTGATCTGAGTGCAGTTTGTATTCAGTACTCTTTTCAGATAGGAGTAGAATTTCTTTTTGCCGCTTTTTAAGAGGTTATGTTCATAATCTTTTGTAGATACAGCCATTGAGTTTTTAAGTTCATTGTTCTGATTTCTGTATGCAGCATAATCTTCCTCAGCTCTTGTTGACCTGTACCTGTGCCATTTTTTATTCATTTATTTGAAGTAGGTTTGATTGATCCAAGGTTTTTCAGGGTTTTTATTTATTACTTCTTGGTTAGAATTTTGATTAAATCCATGATTTTACATTTTTGGATAAAAACTTCCTGTTCATTTAGAATTATAAGCTTTAATAGTTTCTGTCTCGCTTTTAATGCATCAAGTTCATTTGTTCTTGAAAAGAATTTGATGCTTGAGCTTGTTTTTTATTGTGATTAAGGTCTACAGATTTAACAGCAGACTGGACAGCTGATGATAATAAATGTTGGAGCCCTCTTTATAATATTTTTCTAAACCAAATATAATTTTTTATGACCATTGTGGATAGCAAATTTTTCGGGAGCTGTATGAAAAATTCTAAAATATTCTTTATACTGATCCCTCTTAATCAAATTCTCTAAAATTTCCCTTGAAAATGTTCCTATATTTTCAATCGTAGTGAATAAGCTCGTGAATAAGTGTTTCCATTTATCACTAAGATATTTTTTAATTCTTTTGACATTTTTACTTTTTAAACATTTTTTGCTCTATATTTTGATACATACAGTTTGTTCCTATACAACAAAAAATTATAAATTCAACATCCTTGTTATTGAATATACAGCTCATTTTACATCTATCCACCAATCTTCTCTTTTGTACAATTTTTAATATTTAACATAGGAAGATGATGGATTTTATCCCCAAAACGACTTGATACCACTCTGTAATTAAATCTAAGACCTACATATATGAGCTCTACAAAGTGTGGTCGTAGAAAAAGTATTGTACAACATGTAAGTACGCAAATCACTTTTTACACTAACTAGTATTCTACTTTAAATTAGAAAACTAGATAAGTCAGTGACATGGTTTTCCTTGTTTCGAGCCTGGAAAAGAAGAGTTTATTTTGCATAAAAAAAATTACAACTCAATGCTAAAACAATATTAATTGTGTCAATCTAGTAGGAAATTAAAAACAACTTTCCTTTAGATTCAAAATATTAATTTAAAAACTATTCAGAGCAAATTGGAAACTGTTCTGCTTTATTTAATGTTTTGAGATTATGTTATAGACATTATCCTATTTTCAAATAACTGTGTAAGCGGCACTGAATTACAGTAAAACTGCCGTCGAAACTGTTAAAATATTTAAACTTCTTCAATCATTATAGACCTAGACCAGTCTGAATGCCACTGGAATTCTACGGACTTCCACTGGTGCCATCTTCTAATTATAGCAGGGGCAGAAGTTGGAAAGGCTTTCGTCAAACCATATCAGACGACTTCGAGAATTTCGCCTGTAATGTTTCTGTGCCAGTGGTGTTTCATAGAATAAGTAATTTTAAGTTGTTACCGGCGGAACCAGACAATCGCATTTATTTATGGATTAGAAATAATTATTAAAACAAATATAATATCCCAAATCATAATTCTACAAAATTTCAACAGCTACTTACAATTTATTAAACTATTTACACAAAATTGTTATTAACATCGATAAAATAATGTTATACGCTAATGTATCGCGTCCCTTTCGGTTAACTCCGCCGCAAAACTGTCAATTTCTGTATATGAAGTGGGAGAACTACTGCGAAAAGCCTTTCCAACTTCTGTCTCTGCTGTAAGATACTTTTATCCAGTGCGGTACCCTTTTAGGGGATTCAGTTTTAAATAAAATTATTTTAATGTTGTAAGTAGGTAATATGAGGTGTTTTGAGTGTAAAGTGATGAAGCAACCAACAAAGGACAGTTCCCACAACAGTTCCCTTGCGACTATTGTAATAAGAATATATGTATAGATTGTAGTGAACTAAGTACATCAGAATTAATATGTATCCATTTCCATTTATTTATTTTATTTAGTTATATATTATATTTTTATATTGTCTTTAAAAAAATTGAAATGTAAGTTTATAAAATCCTCAGGGCTACATCAGTCTACCATTTATAGATGGGGCATTTTTCTATAACTTCAAATTCATTAGGGACAACCTACAATATAAAATTGTACTACGCTCAAGAAAATATCCTTGTTTAAGGGTCGATCTTTTCACCTCTGAGTAAAGTTACATGTAGGTTTACTTGACAGATTAACAAACAATAGCTCTATAGTTTAATCAGCAAGTAGTTACTTTCAACTTTACTTAGAGTTGAAAAGACTAGCCCTCAAAATATATAATAAAATTGTCATAATTTTTTGAAACTTCGTTTGTCTTTCATTAGAAACAAAAAAAAAATGCCCAATGTATAGTTGGGTATAAAACACATGACTATTCTGTAGACCCTAGAGCAAAAAACAAAGTATAAATACAGCCGTAATTTGAAAATAAACAAACTAACCTCAAAAATAATAGTATTTTTTTACCTGAAACGTTTTTCGGAACAATCGTTGAATTGACACACATACTTCCGATTTATTAAAGTCGCAGTTTCATTTAAACCTAATTTTGAATAAATACAATACACAATTAAAATTGTCTTATGTTAATTTTTATAGTTTGATAGCTTGATTGAAAAGTTGGAATCATTGTGAAGATAGAATATGAAGTAGGTAGAGACACTATTTTTGATGTGACAAGTGGAGGCTTTTTGAGTCATATTTTGATTAATTTTAAGTTAATAATTTTATATTTGAAGATTGACGGAATAAAAATGTTTTTATATTATTTAAATCACGCTATTTAAAAAAAATGACGTTTATTCTCACCAAAACTGTTTAGCTCGAGTTTGACATATGTCCTAAAAAGGTAATGCAGAAGTGCACACTTTTAGTACCGTCATTGCATCGCCTATTCTATATCTATGATTTGAAAGATTCGTATGCCCCGCCCTATTTTGTGACGTCATTTTAAGCAAGTCAATGTTCGTTTCACGGATCTGTTAACGAAACTGTCCTTAATATCAGATCAATATATTTTCAAGCACGTTGTTTGTTATTTTTTGAAATTAAAACAAAAATTATATAAACAACATATCTTACCAATTGTAGAAGCAAAAAATGTTAAATATTCCGTTCTTTAAAATATTATCTAACAAGTTCATTAGTAGTAATTATAAAAATTGTCAAAATTCCTGTGATGCTATTAAAAAAATCAAATCATAACGTCTAATTATTATATAATTTTTATTTTATTTGTGTTGCATCTACTATTAAGCTAATAAACTATTTAAACTGTTAAACTATTAAACTATTAAACTACATATTAAACTATTAAACTATTAAACTATTAAACTATTAAACTATTAAACTATTAAACTATTAAACTATTAAACTATTAAACTATTAAACTATTAAACTATTAAACTATTAAACTATTAAACTATTAAACTATTAAACTATTAAACTATTAAACTATTAAACTATTAAACTATTAAACTATTAAACTATTAAACTATTAAACTATTAAACTATTAAACTATTAAACTATTAAACTATTAAACTATTAAACTATTAAACTATTAAACTATTAAACTATTAAACTATTAAACTATTAAACTATTAAACTATTAAACTATTAAACTATTAAACTATTAAACTATTAAACTATTAAACTATTAAACTATTAAACTATTAAACTATTAAACTATTAAACTATTAAACTATTAAACTATTAAACTATTAAACTATTAAACTATTAAACTATTAAACTATTAAACTATTAAACTATTAAACTATTAAACTATTAAACTATTAAACTATTAAACTATTAAACTATTAAACTATTAAACTATTAAACTATTAAACTATTAAACTATTAAACTATTAAACTATTAAACTATTAAACTATTAAACTATTAAACTATTAAACTATTAAACTATTAAACTATTAAACTATTAAACTATTAAACTATTAAACTATTAAACTATTAAACTATTAAACTATTAAACTATTAAACTATTAAACTATTAAACTATTAAACTATTAAACTATTAAACTATTAAACTATTAAACTATTAAACTATTAAACTATTAAACTATTAAACTATTAAACTATTAAACTATTAAACTATTAAACTATTAAACTATTAAACTATTAAACTATTAAACTATTAAACTATTAAACTATTAAACTATTAAACTATTAAACTATTAAACTATTAAACTATTAAACTATTAAACTATTAAACTATTAAACTATTAAACTATTAAACTATTAAACTATTAAACTATTAAACTATTAAACTATTAAACTATTAAACTATTAAACTATTAAACTATTAAACTATTAAACTATTAAACTATTAAACTATTAAACTATTAAACTATTAAACTATTAAACTATTAAACTATTAAACTATTAAACTATTAAACTATTAAACTATTAAACTATTAAACTATTAAACTATTAAACTATTAAACTATTAAACTATTAAACTATTAAACTATTAAACTATTAAACTGTTAAACTGTTAAACTGTTAAACTATTAAACTATTAAACTATTAAACTATTAAACTATTAAACTATTAAACTATTAAACTATTAAACTATTAAACTATTAAACTATTAAACTATTAAACCATTAAACTAAACTATTATACTATTATACTATTATACTATTATACTATTATACTATTATACTATTATACTATTATACTATTATACTATTATACTATTAAACTAAACTGTTTAACCGTTTTTACCGTTTAACCGTTATACTGTTAAACTAAACTGTTAAGAACATTTATTTTGACTAAAATTGATTACACTGAATGATTTTAAAAAATTTTTGATAAAACATATTCAGTTTCTTATTTCATTATAAAAAACTTGAATTTTGAACCTGTTTAAATTCATTTGATTTTTCTATTACAGGAACAGATTTATGTAGCATCTTAATCCAAAGGGGCTTGATGCAACCCATTTCACTTCAAGCGCAGCAAGCAGTTCTTTTAAGCATGAGTATGCAAAAGCAAGGAAGTCAATCTCAAAACCATTCAACAAGTAGTTCTAACCCACAGATTAACACTTACAAAGCTTGTTCCTTAGAGCCAGGTTGTCAATACCCAGTATATGTTTCTTATGTTAATGACGGCCCCTGTCATTTTTCTGTGCAACTTAAACAGACTGAAGATGCACTTGTTATGTTAATGAATGATATAAACTCAATTAATTTAAGATTATTAGAAGATATTCCTATTCCTGGCACCATATGTTTAGCAAGATGTATTGAAGATAGTAACATATGTAGGGCTGTGGTTACTAATGAAGTTGACACACAGTTTAAAGTGAGTAATATTTTAGTTTTTTTCTGAAGCCAGATAATTTAAATCATATATAATAGTTGACTGAAAATGGGTATCCAAAGAAATTACTCAAAATCAATCCCACATAAAAATATACTTTAATGATTCAAAGACAACCGGTTTCGGAATTATGCCATCATCAGGTCTAAAAGGTTAATAAGCGCGAAAATACTGCGTCAGGAGACGTCTCTAACAAGAATATTTAAAAATGCCACACAGACGTATTGAATGTAATATATCAACACAAGCGTGGCACAAAGGTGTACAACACTTAATATGGGAAATTGATTTTGAGTCATTTCATTCCCGTATATGAGCCGTTCATTTTGAAAGTGACTTAAGTCCATTTATCTTTAATTTGAAATACCTTAAGGTTTTGCTTTTTTACAAAATTAAAAATATACGTAAGATATATGGTTGACTTGCAATGTTAAATCGCATTATTAAGTGTATAATATGACCTTGCTTACCTTAAAAGGACTTAGGCCACTTTCAAAATAAAAAATTGTTTTGTTACAAAATGTGAAAGAGCTTAAGTCCGTTACATATAGCTTAAAAAATAGAAAAAAAAACATTTAAATTATATTTTTAGATAATAGAAATAAATTTGGTAACAAGTTATTCGTTAACATTCTCAGTATGCGGGAGTCCATCATGTGTCGGTATTTTAGTGATGTGATGCTTCTTATACTTTTATATAACGATGGCAATACAATATTCCCAAATTCTTTAGGTCTACCCCGACGTGGCAATAAATCAAGAATTTTAAATTCTGCTTTCTCATCCATGGTTGTTTTGTATAAAATTTTATATGGTTAATTTCTTAAAAATCGCATCCAGCATATTTGAAGCCAGTTTATTTTTTCTCCGTTGGTATTTTTGGGTCTTTTGTAAACTGCTTCTTCCAAGAGTCTTGTTGATATAAAATCCTCTTGTTTCATTTCATTTAGTATGAAAGTATTACCTTTTCTAATTATATTATAATAATCTTGTGGCACATACAATAACTGATTTCTTTTTAACGACATTTCTATAACGCCAAAATCTCTGTCATTAGGTAAAAATGAATGCCCTGATATTAAAAATTTGTGGTCTATGATTTCCACATCATTTCCCATCGATAGAATTTTTAACCACATTAAAGATATTTTGATGTTTCTGTTTTGTCCTCCACACATGTCACTATATGCAATGATGTGTTTTTCACCTTTCAGGATTTTTAGGTGTCTCAAGAGACATGAAGCCACTTCTTGGGAACCTCTAGAAGCTTTTGTTTCATCCCAAACGTACATGTATACATTATCGTTGTGGAAATTGTGTATGCCTAAATTTAAAATATACATGTTACATTTATAATAAGCTACTGAAGTAGTTAACTTTGGGAATAGTAACGCTTTCTGCAAATCGAATGAAAAGCCAAAATAATGAGATGGATTACTTGATACTCGCTCTTGATCTTGTCGATTCTGCTAGCTTCAAATGAATAACATGTTCTTCCATAAGTTTTTTTCTGTTCTTCATGGTTTTCTGATGCTTTGACTTTAATGTTTAATAGATCACATCTTTGACATGTGTCTTTGCGTGGTTGATGGAAATGTAGATTAAAATCGTTTTTGAATATTTTTCTATAAGTCCATTCATTAACTGCTTTTAAATTATTTTCTTCACAGTGAAGCTCATAAAAATTAAACATTTTTTTTATAGTCAGTTCAGGATGAAGATATTTTTTGTCGGGATTATGGTCCCTAGTATAATGGGATTCAAATTTCGGGAAACTGTTAATATGGTTTTGAACAATCATATTTGCTTCATCACATATTTTTCTTGACGATCCAGGCAAACGCCCACGTAAATCGTTGCCAACGTTTTTAGATTTTAATACACGTTTCAATCGTCCTTCGCTTATTTGAAAAGTATCTAAAAAGAATTTTTTACAAACAGCAACTTTGCCTGTTTTATAATTTAACCAATACGTAAAACTCTCATTTCTACATGAACCTTTTCCGTTTCCAAATGTACCAACCAGGACGCCTAAAGACCATTTGCAACTACTGATAGGTCTTTAGCTACTGTTGTCATTATACTATTAAGGGATAAAGGCAGCACCTGTCACCAGCCCTAGGGTCCTGGAGTCCTGAAGGAACATCCATTCACCAGTGGCAAAAGAAAATAAAGAAAAAATAATAACAAAAAAACATCCCTTAATAGCATATGTCGAGCGGTTCTTGGCAACTAGTTTTAGACTCTTTTAGTCCTAAGGGAATAGAAACGCCGAGGCTTCTCAAATGCTCGGAGTATTTTGCTAGTTTGGAAAGGGAGGAGAGATTAATAATCTTCTTTTTACAACACTGCGTACGGTCGCTTCGTATAGCAATATATTTTGCTTATTAAAGTCTCCTAAGTTCCAAAACATTTCGAAAATACGTTTTCTTTCTGTTTCATTTAAATTTTTCAAACAGTCTTTTCGGCATTGGCAATCTTCATTTTGAAAAACTATGGCAGGAATAATTTTTCTGATTGTGTATCGTATCTTTTCCCTGAATTCCGTTCTTTGAAGGTGCTGTTTTGTAAATTCTCATTCTCAATTACTTCCTCTTCCTCTGTTGAAGAATGAACTACTAAAATTCTCCTTCTTTTTTTAAATCTGTTGTATGAGTTTAATTCCTCTTCACTTTCAGAATCAAGAAATCTTGTTATTTTATCCTTTCCCGTGGGTTTAATAATTTCTTTAAATTAAATATTATTTTTTAAATTTCAATTTAATATCAAAACGTAATTTAAATTACCTTCATCACTGTTTTCAACATTTTGGCCCGCACTTTTTGACATCGTCAATAAAAAGTGGACTTAGGTCACTTTCAAAATTAGGATTTTCAGTATTTATATTATTTTGAAAATGTAGGTGATAAAATTTTCAAATGTACTAATTATATTTCAATACTGATTTAGCAGATAAATTATAAATGTCACAAGTGCCAACTTGATAAAAGATGAAAATGGACTTAAGCCACTTTCAAAATAAATGGCTCATATAATAGTTATTTATGTACCAAGTCAGCAGACTATCAAACTAGACTCAGATTATGAGCCGAGCGAGGCGAGTAATAGGCGAGTTCGATAAAGATACTTTGCTGATGTAGTCCATACAAACCTTTATCACCAACCGTAAATAATTATAATAAAAGAGGGGATATTATAACATCACATTTCAGTATGACAAAGTAAACGAACAGAAAAATAACAGCGAATACAAAACAAATCAGTTACAGACTATTTATGTCAGACGGTCATGGCTATGTTGATAAATATTAGTGGCAGATAAAATATTTGATTTTACATTCAGATAAAGTGTTTGTTTACTTCGGCAAATCGTTATAGTAGTGCATGGCTTTATTAACGGTTGGCGATAAAAGCTATTGTATTATTCTTGCTTTAAATTTCAGTGAATTTGAGTTTGACCCGCTTTGTATAAAAAAATAACATGAATTTTTGAATTTATAATAAAAAAATCATGCAGAAGAATTCCAAAATTATAATTTGTAAACACTATACCACATTTAGGTATTTCGAATTTTTTAGGTGTTTTATGTTGACTTTGGCAATTATGAGGTATTACCTTTAGAGGCTCTTTATCAAATACCTTTCAAATATGTCCTGCCAAAAGTGATGGCAATCCGCTTTGCTTTAGCTGGCGTAGAAAAATCCACTGTGACTATGGATATGCAAATAGCATTTAAGAAATTTGTTGACAACAGATTATTGCATATGAAAGTATTGCCGTCACCTACAAGAACTGCTTTGCCCAAATGTGAGCTGTGTGATCCAGAAACAAAGACTAGTGCTTTGGATGTGGTGATAAGATCTGCCAAACATTCTTATCCAGAACCAGTGGCATTAACAAGAGGTTTTAGTCAACCCGTTAAAGTCAGTTTTGTCTACAGTTGCAGCAGGTAAGCTTTTAAAAAATATATCAAATTCTTTTTTTTTTCTTTAATTCTTTTTTAATTCCTAAAATATAAAGTAAGCAATCTATAAAGGTTGTCAAGAATTAGTTCAACTATGTTATCAATAATTTTATTTTGTAAATATTTATCATGTTAAATAGTTCTGTAAAAAAATTATATTGAGAAAATTTAAAGTATCTGAATCATGCAAGATATTTTTATTTAATGTGTATCCAACAAGAATGAACTGTTATTACAGATGACAAAGCTTTTACATTCTTTACTAGTTGTTATTTGCCTTTTTATTGCAAATTTTCTTGATATAGCATAAGGATGGTTAAATGAGTAACTTCATAGAAACACTTTATTAAGTCAAAGTAACTTAACACAGTCAAAATGGTAAAACAAAAGGTGTGGCGTGTGCACAACTGTAACATACATGTGAATATTTGCGAAATGCGTGAAATGCAAGTCTATTGTATGTCATTTCCTCGCCGGAACGGCGCTGGATCCAATTAGAGGTGGGAATCTATTTGCTCAGTTAGAGGTAGCCGTAATGTTTTTGGAACGCTGGATGGAACACTAGTTTTTATGCAATATTTGATAATAATCTCGAAATATTCAGACTATAATAATAGTTGATTATTTATTAATAAAAACATAGTTTTTCTTTAATATATATTTATTAAACAAAACGGTATTATCAGGCGATTTAACAATGTGGCTTCATTAACATCATGTATATGTATTTTAAGGGTGCTGTGCTGTTGACAGTGTCCTCTTTACACATTTGTTTTTCATTAGGAATCCAAAATTCTCCGACTCTAAAACATTGAATTTCAACCATTTTCAAGACTTGTACTGATGCAGTAGAATTGTAACTAAGGATTCACTAAAAACAGAACTCTAAAGATTTCTCTGAAAATTTTTGCTATTTTAAAATTCTTTTACAATTTCAGTTGGTTTTTTTTATTACAAGTCTGTTATAAGATTGTACCGTGTTTACTTCAATTTCATACAGCTTTGGATTTTTTTTTAATAAGAATTCACAATTTTTATTAAATATAGTTCATTTTGAATTTAGTAGGCATAAGCCTTAGTCAGTGACTTTCTTTTTACTGCTCATAAAGCTTTTATTAACAACCAAAAAATCTCGGATATTTAAAATGTATAAATTATGGTAATAATTATGGAACTTACTTTAAATGAATCTTTCAGATTCTACGTCCAACTAGTACATAAAGAATCTGAGCTAGCATCTCTCATGACTGAATTACAAGAGGTGTGTATGTCGAGTGACCCCATGGATCCAACTGCCATCAAAGTTGACCTTCCTTGTTGCGCCCTCTTCAGTGCTGATGGCCTTTGGTATCGATCACAAGTAGTAGAGGTCGTTAATGATAACATAAAAGTACGCTATATTGACTATGGTAATGAAGAAACAGTACCTGTAGACCAGCTGAAAACTATCGAAGGTGAAATCTTGACTGTTCTAAGACCGCAAGCAATTGAATGCTGCCTTAACGGGTATCAGAATATGGAACCTGATGATGAACGGGATGCATTACTGGAAGAATTAATTCTGGAAGGCGTTTTTACTATGAAAGTTGTGGATACTTTAAATAAGAAGACTTTAGTAGATCTGTTTGATGGATCTGATTACAATGTGGCATCTTTGTTGTTGGATAAATTAGCTGCAGCTAAATCACAAGTGAGTATCTAAAATTGATTTTTAACAAAAAAGAAAAATAGAAATAAAGTGTACAAAAATCACCTGTTATACTTATTTGGATGTGTGATATGTAGGAATACTTCAAGACGCACCAAAGAACTAAAAAAAATTAAGTGTTATGTTTTTTACATTTGTTTTGGTTAAAATTAAAACAGGTCCGGTCTAAAAACGAGACCATCTATTTTATTATTCTTGAAAAACAAAACTAAAAATAAAATGTTAAACTTTTTGATTATATCTTAATATAAATTTAAGCTTTAAATTTATCGAACTTTGTATTTATCAAAATTTATTTCAAATATATATTGTTGAGCAGTGTATGATGTACTTCCTTGCAGCCCTGGGACGGAAAGGTTTTTTCTTTGATCGTTAGGAATATAAATTTATTGCCCGGTAAATAACTTCCATTTCATTTTTGGCAACTTTACGAATTTGAGCCACGTAGAAGACTTAATAGTTTTTTACTAAATCTGATTAATACAAAATCATTTTCAAACAATTCCAATTCATCCTTTGTGCCCTTTCCATCCTCTGAACTAATGAAGAATTCTTAATCTACACTATCTTGTAATGTAATATCTTCTAGATCACTCTCGTCTTGGTACACAATGAATTCCTGCTGACTTTCACCTTCCTGCTTTCATTTTTTCATTTTCTACTTTATTTTTTGTTTCTTTTCCCAATTTTTTCTTCGGTCATTTTGCCATAATTCTAATCTTTTCGGATAAGTCGTTTGCCATTTCCATGCTAAGGGAAATTTATCTACCTTTCTTTTTTAATTGGCCCTTTCTTCTTCCGCTCAGAGCAGATTTATCGATACGGAAGTTCTTAGCTGCCTGCCTTACAGAAACAATACCCTTTTAAATATTCTTCTTGGTAAATGTAAGTTGTAAACAAGAATTTCAAAAATTTGCAGATTTTATAGAAAAGTGACATAGTGAAAAATTGTTTTGTCTTGTTTTTGCCCAGAGTTTTGGCTGTGTCACTTTTACGCCACTTTACCCTACTCAAATGACCATTGAAGTGTTTTACATTGTTTTTCTATAGTATAGCAAACTAATGGATTTAAGACATTGCCTACATAAAAAAAAACAAATCTAATATGTTAGTTATGATAGTCTAATTTGTCTTTAAATATTTGGATTTTTGCCTAATTTTGTATCATTTTTTCAATTATTTCCTGTTTTTGTAAAATAAGGGGTTGTAGGTGTCCATGTTCGTCTTCTCTTTTAATCGCACTTCTTGTGGACAGTTTGTTGAGTCTTTTAGTAATTGATGTGATTTTAAATTTCTCATGAAAAGCTTGTGATTCAGGTTATAAATTGTGTTGAGGACCTACATATTAGCAAAAAAAAAGTACAATCGTTTTGTTTTATAGATGAGTCCAGTATTGGCAGTCCAGGCAGGTAACAAAATTGAACACAGAAAATCGTACACCACACAAAGGGAACAACAAAATTTCAATAAAGGCGAGAAGAACTATAACACTGGACGGTACATTTTTATATTTTTTTTTTGTAATTGGCAATTTTATTTTATTACTATATTTTTAGTGAACAAAAGAGTTGGGACAAACCTAACGACAGAAGCGATAGAAACGAACGAACCGAAAAATCTTGGAGGCAAGATAACCGAGAAAATAGGTAAGAAAAAAATATTGTAAAACAGTTTATTCTTACTTCCTAACTTTAAAAACGAAAGATATGAATTGATATTCCTGCTTGTTTCAAGCTTCAATAAAGGGAAATATAAAAGGAGGTACATTACAACTATATTTATAAATTCTAAACTTGTTTATATATTATTTTTTTATTTTTTCAGAAACTACGACAAAAATTCGAATGAAAACGAAGATAAAAACTCTTGGAGACAAAATAATAAAGGTTTTAGGTTTGTATTAAAAATGTTGTTTGTTTAAAATACCACTTTTGTTTTATTTTAACCTTATTTTTTTAGTCCGAATAATCGATTTGACAAACCTAGACAAGATTCCTGGAACACAAATGATAATACTGTCAATAATAACGCAGATTGGGAAGATAGTACTAAATCTAATCCTAAACCTAAGGATAGCTGGAATAAACCGAGTAATAATGCATCACAAGATACTTGGAATAACAAAGACAGTAATAATGAGTGGGGAACTCCTGCCAACAACATTGAGGATGACAGACCCCAAAGAAATGATTTTAAGGGAGGGTGAGTTCTGATATTCTTATTTTTTTTAATCTTACAAGATAGAGAACTGGTTAAAAACAATATTTTTATAGATATAACAACAGGGAGGGAACAGGAGGAGGAGATCGATACGGTGGAAAACCAAGGGATGGTTTCATAAAAAAACGAGAGTACAGGAAGTAAGTAGACTTAATTTTATAATTTCTTATTTGAACCATTTTAAAATAAATTGTACATATAAGTTTGGTGACAGATGATATTTGAATTCCGGACATTGTATTTGTAAAAATCTAAGTGAGTAGTTAATGAAAGAATTCTCGATGCCTTTACTATCAAACAGTTTGGAATGGATAGTTTTTGAATAAATTAGCAATTCTTAAAGTGATTCAAAAATTGGTAAGTTTCGAAAACAAGGATATGAATTTTTAAAAAATTTGGAAACAAATATCCAAATTTCCCTTATAAAATTATATTGCTTTGCTTTTTGGAGAAAATATTGGAAAATATTTTTTACAATGAGCGCCTCTGCGAACCGTAAATCTTTTGTATTTGACATTTTCTCATATTATCCAAAAACAACCAAGATATTGGTCTTCCCGAGGGGCAAACCACTCTTTGTAAAAATGTACAATGTATTGCCGAATTCATATGATTTTCGCAAATCATATGGTGATTTCTGGAAGAATGTGGTGATTTCCACATAATTTCGACAGATTTCTAGTTACTGTGGTGATTTCCACATGAATTCGATATAGTTCTCGTGACTGCGCTGATTTTCGTATTGATTATCTATTGCTAGTATTTTTTCAAAATTGCAAGCATGTTCGAAGGATTTCTACGAGAATGTATGACTTTCCAGTAAAAAACCATTAGCTGGATGTTATATCAGGAAAACTAAATTTTATATAATAGGTCATACAAGAAAAATAAAAACTAAATTTTATATGAGACTTGAAGAAAACGTGAAAATTGTTTTATTGAATTAACTTTTAATAGTTTTAATGAGTGACAATTCTGTCAAACTAAATGAATTATTCTCGTGAAGAATGGATAAATAATAGCAATTCATAAGATATTCCTTTTTTGTTTTTAAGTTTATTTTACTTAATAAATTAATAAAAATCATTAATTATTTTTAAAATAGTAATTTTATCTTAATGCTCCCTAAATTAAGTTTTAAAATTTAGTTAGTGGGTCTTAGAAAAAATATACTGTTCAACTCGAGTGGATTGTCTGTATCGCGTATGGCCATCGTGTCCGCTCTTTTTGTACAAACTACTATTGTGGATCACTTTTTATAAACTCTTTATTTTAACATACCTCCCAAAATTAAATAAACCCTGCATCTGCCAACTATTATTCTAAAGCAAATCATCCCTATAGAATTTTGTGTAATATTTTTTCAAAAAAGAATTCTTTTCACTTTTTCACATAAAAATTTGATGTCATCATGACTTTCCTGTCTAGTTATTACAAGATTTTCTGGTTATTTTGTACAACCTATTGTATCACGTTTTTGAGTTTGAGTTATCTCTAAATTCGAATTTGCACTTTTCCTCAAATATCTCCAATACGATCCATTTTAGGGAAATCATGTATAGAGCAAGAATTATAGAGAATGGCATCACAAGCAACATTTATTGGAACAATTTTCTTAAAAATTCGAATTTTGCATTTTTTGTCAAATTTCTCGATTACAGACCATTTTAGGAAAATTTTGTATAGGATAAAAATTATAGAGAATAATTTATCACAAGCAACTTTTATTTAAAGAAATTTCTTTTCTAAGCGTAAATAACTTATATTCCATAAATTAGAAAAAATTACTCCCTATAAACCCCAGATGCTCCGACTATGTCAAAAATCTAATATACTCATTAGAGGATGGATTAAAGCATTATTTAAAAATTTGGTGTTTTTCCCTTGATCCGTTGATGAGTTATTGATTATACAAACAGACAGATCATCGTGAAAATAGTCAAAACGGATTTGGAGGAATCCAAAACGTAATAATCTGTCGAAAATTCGAGGTAAAAATAAAGATACACCCTAAAAACGGACATTCCAAGACACATTTTTATCAAAAAAAAATTAGAATTATATAAAAAAAATGGAATAAGATCCCTTCTGCACTAAAAATTTTAAAAATCAGAACCATTAATTGAAATCATTGCTGTGTGATAAAGCATTATGTAACCTAGACAAATTCTTCTGTGATGCAGTAATTATATTAAATATTAATTTTTAAAAACAGAACATATAAAAATGTGTATTTATGTCTTAGATAAAAGAGACCAGAGATATAACATATACCGGTGTTTAACCTGCGCAAATGTTGCCAATTTCTAAAGAAAGGTTAACGGAGTCGGGGAACTGGGTGGAGATCCGAACTCTGTGACAGGAACCGGACTTTGTTTATTAGCATCATAATGACCTATTAAATTTATTTAAAATATATGTTTGATGGAATTTGGTATTATGAAATAAAATTAACGTGATTTTTTAATATCAAGCAGATGCCACATTTTATAGAATATTTCGTTAGCGTTTATTTACTACGGACTTTTCAGCAAGAGACTACAGTAAAATGTTGAAATAGAATATTGTTAATAGAGCAAGAAATGCTACTCATTGTCTACGAGTATTATAAAAAAAGCATGTGCGCAGGCGAATACTGCAAATCAAACCTTGTGAGTTGAACATTATATTTTTTCTACGGCTATTACATATTAAAAATTAGTCAAAATGAGAAAATACTGTTTTGTATTGTAACCTCAGCTTCTTTATTTGGGAATATTAATTAATATAGAGGATGAGTTACATAAAACTCTAGAAATGCATGTCTGAAACCAGATAACATTTTAAAATTTAAACCTCTTAAAAGTCATTTGGTCGCTAGGGGTGGATGATTATCGAAATAAATTATCGATCACGGAAAATAATCGATTATTTTCGATCGATCGATTATTCTCAAACAATTTATTTTTTGTCGTATTTCCTTTAAGATCGACTACTTGATTATCTGTGAAAAATAAAAAATAATCGATTAATTAAAAAGCGAATTAACCGATAAATCAATGTTCACAAAAAATAAAAGAATTATCGTTTATTTCAAATAATCCATTTTTTTTTTTCGACCATTGAAACAGATTATTCGAGAATCTTTGAAAAATCGAAAATAATCGATTAATTAAAAAGTCGATTAACTGATAAATCTATTTTCAAAAAAAAAACGAATTATCGATTATTATTAATAATTTATTTTCGATTATCTTTGAAATACCGAAAATAATAGATTATTCTAAAATAACCAATTAATTATGAAGCCGATTCTACGATAAATCTATTTTCCAAAAAAATAACCGAATTATGTATTATTTTCTAATAATCCTTTTCATATTTCCTTTAAAATTGATTATTCTATTGTAAGATGTTTTCTTGCCTCCAAGAAAATATTACCCTTACAAGTGACACCCTAGGACTCGGAAGTACTCGAGCGCCAGTTTTTTTAATGTGGTTTGCTCCACAACACAGGTAGCTTCTAGTGGAGATAACGGAAACACTCCAGGGGTCTCGTTGATGTAAGACTATACACATAAAAGGGTAACAACAACGGGCTTTAATCGTTATTGTTACGTTTAAAGAATTGTCGAAGCTGAAAGAGAAAAAGGGAAAGGTCGTTATAACCTTGAACAAAAAAATAACAAAAATAAGCGGTTGCGGACGATGGCTTGACAGGTCGGAGCTCAATCAGACGTGATTTAGATAAATATACAGATAAAAGCAAATGACACGGAGTTCTGAATTAAATCGGATTACGGTAGCATTTACTTATGAACAGGGAATATATACGGAAATAGAATTCAATATTAACAACTATGAAAAATAAAATTAATCGGTACCAGGTAACTAGTTTAGCTTCCCATCTAATATCCCACCCTTTTGGTATTAAATCCTGTAAAAGACAAAATGTAACCACGGATAATATCTAATTTCCAGCAGTGTGACGACACAATCATGCATACAAAACACTAGCTAGATATCAGATACTATTTATTTTTTTTTTTGTACGGAACTCAAATAAACGTGTTTTCGGTCGTGACCCCCTTTTAAAAAAAATTAAAAAAAAATCCACGGATAATGTCTAATCACTAGTAGTGTAGCGACACAATCACGCATACAAAACACTAGTTAGTTTTCAGACATATTTTCTTTTCTTTTAAACTTTAATCGAAAAACTAATTAAAGGAAAATTAAACTAAATTTTATCACGGATAATACCTAATCACTAGCAGTGTAGCGACACAATCACGCATACAAAACACTAGCTAGGTATCAGATAGTATTTACTTTTCTATACGGAAATCAAAAAAAAATGTGTTTTCGGTCGTGACCCCCTTAAAAAAAAATAATCCACGGATAATGTATAATCACTAGTAGTGTAGCGACACAATCACGCATACAAAACACTAGTTAGTTTTCAGACATTATTTTTTTTATCATTAAATTGATTACGAGTATCACCCTGTATTTAATTTAAAGGAAAGAAAATTGAAATAAAAGAATTAACTACTGTAAAAAAAAATTAACCTAGACCTGGCAGCAATTAAATCGTTAAATCTATTTATCTTATTAAATAATTTAATCGTATCCAAAATCGGAAAATAAAATAAAAAATTAATTCAATCGAGAAATGAAAATAAATATTTCTAAAAATGTAAAGATATTTAACAGAGCAAAATGCTTTAATATTAATTATTTCGGTATTTCAAATTCAATACAAAATAAAGCCGGTATAAATCGGGATGTGTCTTTTATTTACTTCCAAAAACAACGCGATAAGAAATCAGTTTTTTTTACCTGTACTCGGAGAACGGGTTTTGTTTAATCGGAGGCGGCTGGTACTGCTAAGGATTGCTGCTTACTAACTCAAGCGTCGGCGGAAAGATAATGAGATCTGGCCTAGGGCTGTTACAATGGAACTGGACCTGTTACTTTGGAATAGGTATCTCCTGCCTATTCCGCGTACCTGTTACCAAATTTCACACAAACCTATTACTTGTATCACTGGATGCTATCGCGCGTTGTAACTGAAACGGAATGATATGAGATTAGTCAGGCAACTTGTAATACGTTCGTGTACCTATTCAGTATTTTGGTAATAGGTTTCGTTTGATGT